TGTGTGTGTGTGTGTGTGTGTGTGTGTGTGTGTGTGTGTGTGTGTTTTCCATTTTAAGGAGGGTACTGCTGTGGCTGCCTTGATGGAGTTGTAGACCTTCCTTTTCATGCTCTGGTTGTGCTCTTTGGCTTGGTGCTGGCCAAGAGGAGCCCATTGCATGCAGTACAAAAAAGGTAAGGAGTGGACGGGTGGAAGTGCTTCTTGCCGTTCTTGAAGCAGAGAAGTGCTGGACGTAAAGTGGTAAGACTAATTACCATGTGTGTTAACGTCAAGAGAAAAGACGGATGCAATGCGGGAACACAGGTTTTCATATCTGACCTGCAGCTGCTTGGTTCAAATCTATGCATTTGTGAGTTTAGACAAGTAATGTCACCTCTGCTTCCGCTTACAAACTCTGCCAAACAGGCCTCCACCCTGTAGGATTATTAGGAAAACTACACGAGACATACTGAATATAGAGTTGTCATGGCTTTAACATGACATACTCCTGTAGTGAGTGCAATGATCACCTCCCAAATGAAACACTCTGCCTTGAGGATGAGGGAGACTCATGAGACTCTGGAGTCTTGGGGAGCCAGAACAATGTGGCCATAAAGCAATAACCTGCCGACGGGAGGAGACTCCCGGGCTCTCAGGGCTGCCTACAAGTCATGGAGAGAGCCAGTGTGGCAGCACCGATGAGTGTCACCCATGCAGGGGTGGGCTTTGTGCTGATACGGCTGCCTTTAGGTCATCTGTGTCCCGGTAAGTGACCCTGAGAAAACTCCAGCTACAGCAGTTCTCTATTGAACTTTAATCTCACTTCAGAACACTGAGGATGGACTTGGGGGCATTCACTGAATCTGCTTGTCCCTCTTCCCAATGTGACCACATCGAATAAGTCCCCCTTTCTCTGTGGCTGTTTTAATTGGCTTGAGGATGGGTGACCAAACACTGAGGCACAGGCTGTGACCCCCAAGTTCCATAACAACCCCTCTAATTCACATCTGTGAGGTCCACCTGGCTTGCTATAGCGCTGCCCAGCACTCTCCCCCATCCTGTGCCTAGGCTGTTGTCTCGTCCCTGAGAACTGACTGAAATATTGAACTCCTGCATTCAAGGCTGAGCTCAAGCCACCTCCCAAATATTTGTTCCTCTCCCTGATAGGCCTCTCTCAATTGTTCATTATCTCCTCGTTCAATGCACTTGAATGAGTCCAATTGCATTGTCTTTGGATAGATTTAGCATTCTCCACCCTCAGTTCTTAGAAAATAACAACATAGGGAAAAATAACGCTAACACAGAGTTTCATAAGTAATTTCCATATTGTTCCTTGGTGCAAATGTGTTCTTTATTTTACATATGGCTGTGGTAGATGGTAGTTGTTATTTTCTAGTATGCTTAGAGAAAGAAAAAGGGGGTCACGCTGTTGTGTTGATCACCGAAATGCCTCTGGCTGTGGGCCCCATTATTTTACTACTATTCAAACAGGAACCACAGCCTTTACAATATAATCGAGAGACATGTAAGACAGGCCGCTCAGAACCCCGGTCTCCATGACCTGTGTTCATGGAAGGGTGCCCCAAACATTCTGAACTAGAGCTAGCTAAGCACACCCAGGAAACAGGTCAGGGTCAAGAACAAATCCAGTTGTGAAAATAACACCAGTTCTACCAATTCGTAAAACAATGATCTCCAAGCTTCAAGCTTGAGAAAAGCGACAGCCTGTTTCCAGTTAGAGTCCAGGGACCATCCCAAGAGGTGACTCTGAGGACTGGGGCATATAAGTTTTTAAAGAGTATCTATATTTAAATAAATATATTTATTAGATGGGGTGTATGTTTATGGTGTATGTGGGTGTGGTGTGTGAGTCTGGCAGCCAAAGGAGGATGTCTAGTGTCCTACCCTGTCACTTCACCTTATTCTCTTGAGACAGGGTGTCTCATTGAACCTGGAGCCTGCAAGATCCGGTCACCCTCTGTCTCAACACTCCATAGCCCTGGAGGTCTAGGTGCATGGGCCATACCAGGTGTCTTAAGTGGGTGCTGGGCTCACGCTTGCATGGTAGTGCTCTTACCCAGGGAGTCACCGTCCCTGCCTTGACACCTGCATCTTAAGAAGCATGGGGAGGTGAGAGTCTGAGGGTCCCCACAACAGCCAGCCAAGGAAACACTGCCTTAGGTGACAAACACCCCCACTGCTTGTTCCAGTATTTGGGGCTCATGCACCCCTCAGATTTGTCCCCAAGCCTCTGCCCAAGGCTGCATCTGTTGTCACAGATGAGCAACCTTCATGGGTCCCAAACTTTCTTGTCTTGGAACCTTGGTAATGACATGGTCATGTTAGTCCTTGACGACTGATTCCTCCTGAATCAGAATGATGTCTTTTGTTCCTTTGTGGAAGACTGTTTAAAAGCAGCAGTAGGATCAGTTTGGGAGGCAACTAGGCAGTGGGACCAAGTCCTGTGCTCATGCATGAGTTGGCTGTTTGAAACCTGGAGCTTATGCAGGGACACTTGGCTTAGTCTGGGAGGAAGGGACTGGACCTGCCTGGACTGAGTCTACCAGGTTGATTGCAGTCCTTGGGGGAGGATTTGCCCTGGAGGTGGTGGGAATGGGGGGTAGGCTGGGGGTAAGGGGAGAGGGTGGGAGGGGGGAGAATAGGGGAACCCATGGCTGACATGTAGAACTGAATGGTATTGTAAAATAAAATTTAAAAAAAAGAAAAGAAAAGCAGCAGCAGGGCATGTGTCTGTGACTCTAGAGGCAAAGCATCCTCTATCACTTCCGGGTTCCACATTGTTACACCTAATCTTCCTTTACTCTAAATACTGTGGAAAAGCAGTAGCACCGTGCTTCATAGAACACAGTGCCCGTTTTTGATCAGCTAAGTTCAGGGGCCAGGTGTCCAGAGTCCACAGGACAGAAGCCATGGGTAGCGGCCCCTCCACCCCAGAACACACAGGGAAATACTCGGGAGTGGAAACCCGCTCTTTTGTTAAGATCATCAAAGCATTCCGGCCGCCCTTCAGCTTCTGTGTTCCGGTCCTTCATCTATTTTCTTGTTTTAATCACCTCTTGGTGTTATCTGCGACTTACTTCTCTGAAAAACTGCTGAGCAATATTCTTGAAAGAAGGGGACAGTGATGGTCCTGGGGTCCCCTCTGGCAGTTGACTTCCTGGGATTGGCCGGAGTCCTAAAGATTTTAGAAGAGACTTGTCTAGTAGGAAAAGCTCCACCGTGGTCAGCCACACTGGATTTCTGGAGGCGTGAGCTTTAGGGCTGGCTAGGAAGAAGCCTAGGTTTGGGAGCTTAGACAGAAGCATGGGATTGCTTTACCTACAGAATAATCGAGGGACGGGGCGCGGTGGGGAGTGGCATTCATTCTTGTTAAAAGAACAGGAAGAGGCCACATTTGCTCTTTAGTTTTGTGTGTGTGTGTGTGTGAGAGAGAGAGAGAGAGAGAGAGAGAGAGAGAGAGAGAGAGAGAGAGAGAGAGAGGGAAATGGTCTATTGGTCGACACTAAGATACTAACTAAATCTTTAAATAAATGAATCTCTCTAGCTGGGGGAGAGTAAGAAGTGCTTCTTGAATATGAAACAGGCAACTTTTTATTTTTTTAAGGAAAGGGGGATTAAAAGCAAGAACCTTAGGGCATTTAATAACAGAGGCATTTTTTTTTCTTGCTCTATATGGATTATTGAGGATTATCTGCTAAAAGCAAAATCTGGTCTAATGTTCCTGTTTGATTCACCCTCCTTTGCTCTCATTGAAAATCTCCCTCTCTTCTATGATTTCCATTCAGTTATTCATGGGCAAACCTGGAAAGCAAAAACCGGGGGCCTTGTTTTCGGGGAGGGGAGAGGTGGGAATTGAACCATTGCATCCCCAGTTCCCACTCCAAAAAGTAAGTTTTACCAATAGTCTACCACTAAAGAATAGGAATGGACTCAACCATCAAAAATGATTTTATATATATATATAGCAAGAACAATTAGCAGCTTTAAACACTAGATCCATAAAAGGCTTTTGCAACCAACTGCAGAGGCTTAAAGCTCTGAGCTCGCAGTGCTGCTTGGAGCCAGTGAGTAGCCACATGCAGGCATGAACCCAGACCTCAGCAGCAGATGGAGCATTTCCTTCCACCCATGATCTCTGTGGGTTTCAAGCCACACATGCCTATGAGCCAAGCAAATGCTTAGGCTTTGTCTCAAAAGGTGTAAGTCACCTGTGTATCAAAAGCAGACATCTGCCTCAGGGTTTTTGTGAAGCTAGTTTTTTTTTTTGTTGTTGTTGTTTTGTTTTTTTGTTTTGTTTTGTTTTGTTTTTGAGACAGGGCACTTAAGGTTTCTAGGCTGGCCTTCAACTGCCTATATCTCCAAGGATGCCCTGAAACTGCTTCTGTTTCCTAGAGTGCTGGGATTTCAGACTTAAAGCACCACACCTGTTTTATGTGGTGCTGGAGTTAAAAAAAAAATGGAGCTTTGGTCATAGTTCATGAACACTCTACCGACTTAGCTCCATCCCAGTGCAGGAAGGTGATTCTAAAGGAAGTGGGAAGGATTTCGTCCCTAAAAATTCAATCTGTATTCAAGATGTGGGATTTTCTAGATACATGAGATCATCTGAGAAGGTCATGTAAGGTCATAGGTAGTTATAGAAGGAACAGGGCTTTTGGAGCCAGTATAAAGAGATTTAATTCTGCCCTTAAATCTGTGTCTTGATCTGGGACAAAATATTGAAGTTCTCTAAATTTCAGATTTTTTTTTTTTTTTTTTTTTATTTGTCAAGACAGGGTTTCTCTGTGTAGGCCTGGCTGTCCTGGAACTTGCTCTGTAGACCAGGCTGAACTGGAACTCAAAGATCTGCCTGCCTCTCCCTTCTGAGTGCTGGGATTAAAGGCACACACCTGGTTCAGAATCTTTATCTATATGACAAGAATAGCAACCTCTGCCTCACAGGGCTGTGGTGTGAGCTGTTATAACATAACAGAGATATAACATCCTCTGCCTCACAGGGCTGTGGTGTGAGCTGTTAGAACACAAGGACATCATTCCTTCTAGGTAGAAATGCTATAGGTGTAGTACATAGTTAGGTCATATATATGTGTGTGTATATAATGTATACAATTGTTTTCATTTCTCTATTCCTCTGTCTTCCTCCTACTTACCCCCAAAGTCCTTAGTCCAAGCAAGGCTTCTCAGTGCTGTGTCTACATGCCTCAGGAAACTACTTGGGAATGCCAGAGAGGGATAATTTGATGAAGTTTGCTAACACTGCAGAATTTCCTTAACAAACATTTGAGGACCTCTACACCGGCTGAGGGCAGCTATTCCAGGGAATGACGATAATTTTCACCTGATCTGAAGAATTTCACCATCAGATAAACAGTCTTTGTCTGGGTCCAGCTGGAAATAAGAGCAAGTGGGTCCCTATCAAGACTACAGGTAGAGAACAGGACCGTTAAGAATGTGGACTGGAAGTGTGGCTCATGTGGTACTTGCCTAGCATTCATGAACCCTGGATCTGAAACTCACTAGTGCATAAACCAGGCACGATGGTGCACACGTGTGATCCTAGCACTGGAGGTGGAGGAAAGAGGATCAGAGTTCAAGGTCATGCTGCTACACAGGGAATTTGAGGTCAGCCTGGGATGCATGAGACCCTGTCTGAGGGAGGGAGGGAGGGAGGGAGGAAGGAAGGAAGGAAGGAAGGAGGCAGAGTGAGGCAACAGGGAGAAGATGTTGACTGTGGGGTGGCCTGGGGTGGTGTGGGGGATGGGAATAGGACTCAGGAATGTGTTCTAGGAATTCCTGTAGCAGAGGTTGGGGGCAACACTTGTGATAAGGGCATTTGAGGTCATAGTCACACAACACTACACACAAAAATGTGAAAAAGCGAAGTCCACAAGACCTACCCAGGATGCTAAGAGGAGGAAGGGTGGGTGGGGCTTACTGAGAATCTCCGCAGGCTTCCATGGAAAGGAGGGCGAAGTTCAGTGGCTGTCGGGACAGGGAAATGAGCTCAAGCAGGGTGGAGTTGGGGCCTTGAGCACATGGACGAGTGTGACCCTAGAATCTGTTTTCATTGTTGTTATTAATTTAATTAAATTTTTCTTTGATGAATTTCAGTTCTTTCACCCCCATTACCGGTTTCATCCCTTCTCCTCCCTCAGAAACCCCTCTTCCCACCAAGTCCCTTTTCACATCTTGTGTGTGTGACCCACTGGGTTTAAATACGGTGCCTGCATGAGCATGAGTGGAGGGTAGTTACTCGCTGGGCAGCTTACCGATGGCCGCACCACTGAAAACAGCGACACCCTCCTCAGCCATCATGAACTGTCAAGCAGGTCCTCGGTGAGCGGTTGGCCCTCACGCGCTCTTCCCGCTTCCGTGATGAAATGCTGGAGGGCCTAGCTAGTGCTTTCTGCCCCCGTTTCTGTGATGTTAGGAATTGTTGGTCAAGGGTGTCCCAGGGTCCCCCAAAACTTAATGGTAAGAATCTTTATTTTTTTTAAAAGCTTCCTGAGGGATTCAGAAATGCCTCTCAAGTTTGGGGAATGCCATGTTGGGCATGGTGGTCGATGAGCACAATCCTCTGCCCTGGTTACAGTCTTGTCCTTCCTGTGACATAAAACCCACACTGATGCTGACTTTGGGGGGGTGGGGTGGGGAGAAGTATTAACTAGGCATTATAAGCACAGTACTCAAGGACTTATACAAATATTTTATACCTAAAGACACTGACTGTTGTTGTGACTGATAAAAAATCTACTAACTGAATGTGATAGTGCATACCTTTAATTACAACACTCAGAAGTCTGAGGCAGGAGGATTTTGAGTTTGAGGCCATCCTAGGCAACTTAGGGAGATCCTGTCTCAAAACACACCAGCCATCAGAAAAATAACTCCCAAGGTATAGCTTTTGCATGCTAGCTGTAGATGCTTCTCGTTTTTTTGATGACGTCATATTTTGATAAATATATTAGAAACTGAAAACATCACACCCAAACCCATTGAATATACCGGATGTTCTGAACGTTGCAGTTTAACTTAGCCTACCGTAAATATACTCAGAACACTTGTGCTACACCCTATGAGAACATCACACAACTTATTGCTAGCCTGGGACCAGATCAACTCAAGTTTGAAGTGTGGTTTCTGTTGAATGCATGTTGTTTTCTCATTGTTGAAAAGTCGAAAAATCCACCTCAAGCCGTCACAAGTTGGGGGCCGTCTACACTCTGCACTGAAGGACGCTGGAAGAGCTCCTAAGTACAGTCTCCGTCCTAACTCCTGCCCTTCTTTCTTCGCCTCCCCACCTCTTGTGAGGCGGGACATAGAAGCCAGAACTCACCCCGCCCCCCTTCCCAAACTCAACCTTAAAGTCTAGAAACATTATTTTAGCTTTACTCAGACTTTCTTAGCAAGGGCAGCCATAAGAAATTCTACAGCTCATCAGCTCATAAGATCCTGTCCTATGCCCTGTTTCTGGGGAGAAGGAATGCCACACAAGGACCCCAAGCAGACTTCACCGAGTCTCCCTTGGTCCATTACTGTATCAGGAGAGCCTTTCAAGTCACCCTTCGCTGTCCTGAAGGGCGGCCCAGTCTCTGTCTTCACTTCTAACCTTCAGTCCGTGCTAACCCCATTACCTTGAATAAGTCCTTTAACGGTATTAACCTCCCTTTGCTCACCCACAGTCCAGGACAGAATTCTTGTTTTATGGAATCCCCACTCCCGTGGGGGCCCAAAGGGAGGCTGTGTGCAAAGTGCTAAGCCACAGTGCCCACATACAAATATTTGGTTTGCCCTTATTTCAGAGATAAGGAAAGTAAAATTGGCAGAGATGACCTGACATGTGCAAAACCTCTCGGCTCACCAGATGGGGACCAGGACGGGAAACTGGGTCGCTTTGCCTTCTTCCACACAGTCCTGCCTCCTGGCCTGCCAACACCCCGCAGGCTCTCCACCGCAGAGGCACACGGCAGAAGGACAGGCCACACCAGCCCCTGAGGGCAGTGTTTTGTGAAGGAGACCCGGAGACTAGGCCACTACACCTCATCCTCACAGGCTTCTCTGTGGGAAATGTGGTTCCTGGGTCAGCCGTTGCCAAGTCAAAACCTTCTGAGGACAACTTAACTGTTTGCTATACTCTAGTTTATACTGGGGATGAGAAGGGCGGAGTTCCTGATAATGCCTGGGCAGCCATTATGTTTGGGCATTTTTTTTGGAAGAAGCTCTGGGTTCCAGCCCCAGCACCATGTGAACTGGTGTACGGCACATATCCGTCACCCTGGCATTTGAGGGGTGAAGATAGAAGAGCGAAAGTCAAGGTCATTCTCAGCTGTGTAGCAAGTTGGGGGCCAGCCTGAGGTACAACAGATTTTGTCTCAAAGAAAGAAAAAGCCGCAATGCCCTAGGTAAATTATTTCTGCTATAATTCAAGGAGACAACAGTGGCCGGTTTATCAGGACTTCCTACAGAGACTTCTTAACATTTTCTTGTTCAAGTCTCACTCCAAACCTCTGAGAATGCCACTGTCATCACTCACGTGGGTGAAGATTTTAAGGTTAGGTTAGACTTCCAAGCTCATATAACAAAGCCATCTGTCACAGAAGTCTGGGCTCTTTATCACTCAGGGTTCCCAGGAACTGGGCTGCCAGTGACGTGTATCAAAAATCAACTACTGTCCCCGCCCCGAAGTCTCACCACCACCTACCGAATCAGGGGATTAGGGTGACAATGGAAACCCAGAAATCTACATTTTAAAAATGTGGCCAGGCGTGGTGGAGCAGGCATTTTATCCCAGGACAGCAGACACAAGGATCTCTGTGAGTTTGAGGCAGCTGGTCTACATAGTGAATTCCTTCAGACCAGCCAAGGGCTACATAGAGAGCCTGTCTCAAAACAAAACAAAAGATGTATTTTACCCTCCCCCTCTCTCTGTGGGTGTGGGTGTGGGTGAGACATGTGTGTGACATGTGTGTGGGTACCTGTGAAGCCAGAAGATGTCAGATCCCCTGGAGCTGGAGTTGCAGGCAGTTGTAAGCCATCTGAAATGGGTACTGGGAGCTGAACTCTGGTCCTATGCTGGGGTAGCAAGGGCCCTTAACCACTGAGAGGGGTCTCCAGTCCCCAAATGTAGATTTTAACAGGGCCGACAGTTATGTCTGATGAACATTCATGTTTGAGCACCAGAGCCCACATCGTCCTCCAAGGTGCCTGCTCTGTCAAAAGATGAGAGTCAACACTGACCACATTACCATCACTGTACACAGCAAAAACCAAGCCCCTTCCGCTTTACAATCCACTGAGTGACCCGCACGACTTTTTTTTCCCCCTGTGTGTCTGAGCAGAACATGGTTGTTCCTGTTGATTGACAGGGATTTTAGCATGAATATTTAACGAGGAAGGCAGCTGGTACACTTGACTAATGTAGTATTTCAACCTCTAGCTTCATACTAAAGGGGTTTGCCCTCCCCTAATGCATGTCTACATCCTGTCTTAGTCC